CAAACTGATTATTAAAAGTGAATTGAGTTGATTAAACTGGATTTAGAAGGAGGCGTTAGCGCTGTTCTTATTCTAGTGGGATTATCCCTCAGTTCTAGCCCAACGGTCTGCCGGTTGACACCTCATCTAAGTTACTTTTAGGCTAAACTCACATGTATTATATCAACTGGTGGAGATAATGAGTTCTCTGATAACCGAAAGCCATCAGAGAGACCTGACGGGGACAGGTGTGAGGTTACCATTATAGAGACCAGGATTACTTTAAAGAGGGGGAGGGGGGGGGCAGCAAGTTAAAGGACAGAGCAGAGCACAGTTGGCTCTAGGAGCTGTCGCATTGATGCTTTAACATTGAACAGTAGATGTTGAGAACTTGGCTATTAGTAAAAGACCCTGATTAGATTTATTCATTGAAATGGTAGCTCTGTGTGAAACGTTGTGTTAAGGACAGTGCTAGGAGATATGCAAATCAGACACTTTTAATTTATTCATTACTTGTTACTTATTATCGACTCAGCATCAGCATGACAGCGCAAAGAAGGATCAAGATCTGGTTCCATGCCTCTTATCGTTGGAGGGCTGATTAATTCACCTTTAATTCTCTGTCATTACAGAGCCGAAAGACAGTCCCACTCCGGCCACTGCATCACGACAGGGGACACCCGAAAACCTCCAGGAGAGGAGGGACGAAATACAGGGAAACGGCACGGCGAGACACGGAGCAGAAACATATCCGATGTCAAATTCACAGCTAGGTACTCAGAACTGATGGGAACTGGAGCAAAACTCCCTGGTATTTTAGTCATTAGGATCAAGATTATAGCTTTTACATAAATTCTGAGCTGCATAGGGAACAGGCTTCATGCTATCAACAATTTACACGTTTGGCTAATAAAAATAAAAAAAATAAAAACATTAATGCTATAACATTAAACAGTTGATGTTGAAAAACATAGCTATCACATCCACAGGCCACACAGAACCGGAGCGTAAAAGTCAGGTATACAATGCCCAGAACAGCAGATAGATGGATGCCAGCCAAACCCCGATCTGTGGCATCAGGGGGCTACACCATGTTGCAGTATGGCCCTCAGTTGCTGCAGTCCAAAGCGGACATAGCTGCCAAGGATGGGACACACCAAGACGGAGACCAAATCCAGACTGTTGAAGGCAGTTAGTACCTGTATCACATGATTAGATCCGCCACGTTAGCACAGAATAAGTGAGGGTTATCAGAACCCATTAGACCCATATATGAGGGCAATGATCTTGACCCTCACAGTACTGGTATTAGTATCTGTAATTCTGATTACATTAATCTGAGATTAGACAATTGAGGAATGTTTTGTATTGTTAATCATTCTGCTTCCTTACCCAGAGGGCCCCCCGAAGAAAGGCAGAAACAGCATCTCCACCCAGAACACCCTGCCCCGACCTCACCGATAGGGACGAAACCATCACCGTGAAGCCTCACAACCCATCCAGCTTGAACCTGAGACAAGGACCAGACAAGCCAGTGTGAGGAAACTGTGCTGACAGCCAGCAGGAGTCATGGTGCCGGGACCGCGCGATGACGTGACCCTTCCCTCTCCCCAGAGCCATAGAGCACCCCGTGACCAGGGATCCCAATATGCAATAAAAAAAAAAAAAAAAAAAAAAAAAAAAAAAAAAAAAAAAAAGAGAGGGGGGCAGGAAAATGCACCTCAGAGCAGCAGGAGATTAGTAACCGAAAGCACATCTCTGTTAGAACACCTTACGAGTGACCAGAATCAAACCCTCACCTGTCTTCCTGTGTTATATGCTGTGTTCAATAGGTGTCAACTCAGACAGACATGCAGGTGGTCAAAATGACGAATACAGAACTGAACTGCTGGCAGAGATGGAAGACAGGGCTAGTGAACTTGATAAACAGCAAGACTCCAACCCTGCAAGACCACTAGTGACTGGGGTTCAAAGTTGAAGAAGTCAAACAAGAGGCACATTCTGAGTTGTGGAAGGAGTAAGGTTCAGGAGAGCTCCATGCTGCAATTCAAAAGGCAGGAGGGCGTGTGATGTAGCTTCCGACATACAAATTTTAATTGTGAGCATAAGTGCGAGTGAATTAGTTGAGAGGAACAGGAAGTTCTGTAACGTATAGTTTCTAGAAGGTGTGCATGATCCTTTTATTTGTGGAATGCTTGTTGCCCTTTTGGGTGTGTCTCTACAACAGCCATCCTAGGACCCGACAAGAAGGAGGAGGAGGAGGCCTATCCCAGATTCAGATCCTCTACGGAAGGGTTATGCCTGCTGGATCTTAACTGGCCGGAGAGCTGGACAAGAGGGCGAGGATGACGACTCATGAGTAGACCACTGGCTGAAGTTTTAAGAAGGACACTGAGAGTTTAAGACACTGCGGGATTGAAGCAAAGAGACTATTGGAAAAGTAACATCAGAATGTCTATGTATAACTTTGGTTCCTTCCCTTTCAGCCATACCAGTTCACTATACGGCGTGGTTCAGGTAAGACAAATCTTGTTGCTGACTGTCCTTCTTTTACCATTCTGAGAGTGTCCTTGTAGCAGCCATCTTGGAAACCAGAAAGAGGAGGAGACCAGCCTCAAACCCAGCCATCATAGAGTCGGCTATATTTGCTGGGGTTTGACAGGCTGGACAGTCCACTAAGGAGGCAGGGACGGCAGCGCACAGGGAAATTGCCGGTTAATGTTTGGACGACCTCAAAAGGTTCAAGACAACACTGCAGACTCAAGACATTGAGAGCTAAGAGACCGAAGCCAAGAGACCGCTCAAATGGCAGCAGAGCAGGGGGACGATACCGACGGGCCAGAGCCAGGAGAAGCCACAAGGGCCCTGGGACCATCAATCCCC